CTGACAAAGAACAAAAACTAATCCAAATCCAAAATCAAATCAAAGCCCTCGAAACTGGAAGGATTGATCATTTACGAGCCCACCTTAAACATTTAGGTGATAAATTAACTGATTCGAATAATGTAAATGTTATCACTTATCAAGAAACAATTGCCATTAGAACTTTGATTTACTTCTTAACTGATTTAGAAAATGAGGGCAAATTAGAAACTCCCCTTATGGCTACTGAAAAAGGATATCTCACTAAAGTAGAACAATTAGAGACTGCTCGCAATGCTACTCTCAGTACTTACGGAACTTGGAAAGCACTTGGTAGCAATTTCCAAGAAAGATTAGATAATTGGGAAAAGAATGAAGGAAGATTCTTAGAAGAAAAAGGAATTAGAACTTACTTTGAGGTGATTAAAATTGCTTTGGAGAAAGCTAGGCAAAACCAAGGTCTTAGTTCGGAAGAAGAAGCAGAGCTGTTGACGATTAATAATTACTTGACTGAATCAAGGTTAAGAGCTGAAAACTTGCGGTTAGTTTTCAAAACTGATGCGGATATCCCTAATTCTTTAGTTAAGGAATGAAAAAATTATGGTGATAAAAAATTGTTTCAAAAGGATAGTAATGAACTAGAAAAGATTACTGACATTCTTAATGAATTAGTTGACAAAAGTACTTTTTTCACAGAACTCAAGGATTATTTAAAAGGTAAAAAAGTTCCTGAATTTCCCGCTGATACTGCTGATGATTATGCCAAATCAGATTATTTCTTTACTTTATCTCCTCAACATGTAATTGGATTTTTGGTGGCTTATCACATTAAACATGATAGTGTTAAAAAATCTGAAATTGAAACTGAAATGAAAGCTGATCGGAATCCGGCAGACCAAGCTAAAAGCTTAGATTGGAATCTCTACGGGGATGGAGCTAGTCCAACTGAAGCCGGAATTAAAAAATACTATTTCGAAAAACTCGCCGGAATTAACCATAGTTATTCCAAAAATGAACCTAAAAAATTAGCCCCTACTTCTAAGGAAGGATTCTGAAGAACTAATAACCCTGCCGCTTGGTTATCCTTTCTTGGTTTACTCTTGTTATTCGCCGGAACTATTTGAGCTATTCTCAAAAGAAAAACCCTTCTCCAATGATGAAATGCTCCTTCCGAATTAGAAGATGAATTGGATGAAGATGAAGATGATGATTAATAATGATTTGATTGTTTATTCTGCCAGTCTTCTTTTCTTTCTTGGTTCATCATGAGCTG